TAGATATAACAGACATTTTGGCATGCTCTTTCTAGCTATTCCACTATAACATAAACCCAAGGCTCTACTAATTACCAGTTACAAAGTAATCAGAAAGTACCACAAACGTTACAATAAACTAAATAAATAAAACACTATATATATATATATATATAATTTGAGCAAAAATATATTATTACCTTCCAGTGAAATACTTTACAGTAAAAACTTTTTTAGAGAGAGAATAAAAAAAAACTTTACTAATGTTTTATACACATACAATACAGGTAATGGAAATAAAGATAATAATAAACTTATTGGCTAACAAATTGCACGTGTATTTGTGGTTCTTTGCAGTAATTTGTAGGACTGTACGCTTCTGCATCTCTTACCTTTCTATTTGAAAATCTAGTCTGTCCTAGTATTACAAATGTAGATTCATTGCACGTGAAACATATGAAACAGTGGACAACATAATTTCTTCTGCTACACAAAAAATACAAAACAGAATCTGATGGGAGGTTCTTACTTAAAGTGTGTATAAATATGTTTTCACGAGTAATTTCTTTTATTTTAATTTTAGTAAATTATTTTTTTATCCTAAGTGTAAAATGTATAACTTAACATGCATGTTACAGAGAAAACATCCACTTACTTATGTGAATGAATTTTTTTTTTGTTCGTTTTGAATTTCGCGGAAAGCTACACGAGGGCTATCTGCGCTAACCGTCCCTAATTTTGCAGTGTAAGACTAGAGGGAAGGCAGCTAGTCATCACCACCCACTCTTGGGTTACTCTTTTACCAACGAATAGTGGGATTGACCGTTACATTATAACGCCCCCACGGCTGAAAGGGCAAGCATGTTTGGTGTGACGGAGATTCGATCCCGCGACCCTCAAATTGCGAGTCGAGTGCCCTAACCACCTGGCCATGCCGGGCCCACGCGAATTAATTTGATGAAGACTAAGAGAAAACCTTTACAAACGCAAAGGAAAAGAAGTTGCTAACTAATATTAAACTTTTGACTGAGCAAACCAAAAGAAAAGATAACACATTTTGCCAAAAATTTAGGTCTTACAGTGTGTAAAACGGAGTTGCAAAGTGGGATGTTTGGTTAGACATGCAGATTTCACAATGAGAGATTGCAAGTTTAAGGAGCCGCTAAAATCAGCTCCCGTGCTGACAAAGGCAGCTCAATCTAGGGGGGGTCTGGGAGCATGCCCCCAGAAAATTAATAT